GAGAGAGAGAGAGAGGATTTTCTTACAAATACCTTGAATTTTGAAAATACCCTCTCTGAGAATGTAATGGAACGTTTGACGAAGTGATAGAAGAGAGCACGGAGGAACAAGAGCTCCAATAAGTTCATCCAAGTTCTAGCAAGAGAAAGACTGCACAGTGATATGCGAAACTATCCCAATTTTCTACAAAAAAAAAAATGAACAAATTTTGATTAAGGGGGATGCATAACTATAAGTATAACAGTGAAAATCTAAGGAAAAAAATGCATGATTTTGTCACGTCTGTGTGTGTGAGAGAGTAAGAGAGATGGGGGGTAGGAAACCTAAAGATGTAGAACAAAAAACAAACCCACTTCGATAATTCATTAAATTTTCTGAGGAAGCACTGATTTTAGAACCGAAAATATTAAATTGAGATGAAAAACAGAAAAGAAGCAGCAACATGTTGGGAACTTTAATGGTATAGCGAATAAGAGAAAAGAAAAGAGAAATCAACCTCATCTCTTTCAATTTCCTCGGTTGGTGTTTTATAGCAAATTGAATTTGAGAAAGAGTGTTGGGAAATTGAAATCTTCTCTCTAATTAATGGAAGAAAAGTCCAAACCGAGAAGAAACATGGCGCCCAACACCAACAATCTGAAAAAGGGAAATTCTACTTGTTTTATGCACAGAGAGAGAAACAAGAAAATAGAAAGAACAAGAGCCCCATGAAGTAGTCTGCAAAATTCACCTGAACTTCTTAAGAAATCCTTTTCCAAGTTCGAAATTCAAGTGATAAAATATCAACTGACTTGTACCAAACTTCAGAAGAGAAAATAACTGAAACCCAGGAAGTAATGAAGAGATTGTCACCAATTTTTAGACAGAGAGAGAGAGCTGGGAGTTTTAAAGGGTCCATGCTTTGGGTTTTTGATATCCGGTCAAAGTTAGGGAATTTTTCTTTAAAATGCAGAGAGAAAAGAGGAAGCAGGAGACCCAAAATGGTCAGGCAAAAAAACAGATTAGTCTCTGTCAACGTTTTGGCTTTCACCTTTTGAAAATTGCTTCAGGAAATATACTTCAACAGAAAAGAGAGAGAGCTGAATTCAACAGAAGAGAGAGAGAAGAGCTGAATTCTACGGAAGAGAGAGAGAGAGAGAGAGGAGCTGAATTCAACAGCAGAGAAAGAGAGAACTGAATTCAATAGAAGATAGAGAGAGAGAGGAGCTGAATTCAACAGCAAAGAGAGCTGAATTCAACAGAAGAGAGAGAGAGAGGAGCTGAATTCAACTGAAAAGAGAGAGAAGAGCTGACTTCAACAGAAGAGAGAGGGAGGAGCTGAATTCAACAGAAGAGAGAGAAGAAAGAGAGAGAAAAGAGCTGAATTCAATAGAAGATATATATATATATATATAGAGAGAGAGAGAGAAAGAGGAGTTGAATTCAACAAAAAATTGACATCCAAAAGACCAAGAGAGATTCAGAAGAGAGACTAAATTCAACAGAAAACTTGATATCCAACCGACCCAACAGAAATTTAAATGGAGAGAGAGAGAGGGCGGGGGTTTGAATTCATCACAAAGCTAGATATCCAAAAGAGATTCAGACTAAGAACCACGAGTACGTTGGTGCATTAAATGGTGCAGTGGAAACAAGAAAAGCAAAAAGTAAAAAAAACTCCTGTCTTTCAATTCATGGCATGCTTTGGATCTCCACTCGATTCATTTGTAGCCCATCATTTAATGCATAAAACTTAGAGAGAGAGATCGAGATCGAGATCGATCAAAAGGACAGTGTTAAGTTTAACGGTGCAATAAAGAACATGAACAGAAGAACAATGGCCTAGGCCTTTCAACCCATAACTGCCCCTAAAGAGAGAGAAAGAAGCTACTTGTGAGGAAAGATATGAGAAGGTGGCAACTTTGATGGGGAGTGTGCAGGGAGGATTGTTAACAAAAGAAGAAAGAAAAGATTACATATTTTTCAATCCATGGCTGCCACCAATCAAGCTCTGGTTTGTTGCAGAAGGTGAGAGAGAAAGAGATAGTGAGAGAGGATAGTTATCTAGAGAGAGAAAGCGAAAGGCTTCTCGGTACCTACTACTCAGGCTTCTATTTTAAACCTGCTGGTTGCAGTTTAGAGAGAGACGTATTCTTTTAATATGCATATGTTTTAGAGAGAGAGAGAGAGGAGTTGGTTGAAGAGAGAGAAAGAAAAGCGTAATGTAGAGAGAGAGAGAAAGAGGAGAGAGAAAGAGAGGAACAGAGGGTGTTGGCAAAGAAGGTTACAGGAACTGAAAGGCGATTGGCGGCAGTTACTGAGATTCCCAGCGTGGGGCCCACATGAATCTCCGTATTCTGATACGGCGCGTGATATTTTATCCACTTATGCTCATTCTCCCATCATTATTAGAAACCGTATTTTACTATTGTACCCCTCCACCTTCCCGTATTTCCTCGACCGCCCCTAACAATTTACTCAATTCCAAACCAGCCCTAACCCTTTTCCCAAATCACCAAATTCCGCACAATGTATAGCAGACTCACCCCCCTCTCCCAACCGTCCGATTTGATTGGACGATTGAGATGGGTTTGTTCTCAATATCATGCCTAAATTTTATTTTATTTTTACAAAATTTATTGACACCAAACTTACGGCGTGTTATCCTCTCATGAGGTTATGCCTAAAAAATATTTATTACAATAAATGACCGACTAAATTACCCTGAGAGTTGAGAGTTTTACCGGACATGTGCCCCTATGAAAAGGATGAAACCATTATTATGTTCATGTTCACATGATTCGTAAAAAACCTATTAAAAATGAAATCAAGATCAAATGATCATAAGCTTACTTTTGATATTTACCTTAATATATCTCAATTGTCCAATCATATCGGATGGCTCAGAAAGAGATAACTCTTGAAACTATTGATATATGAGAAAGTTCCCCACCACATGTATGAGGTTAAAAAATTTAACATATGTGGACTAATTTGTTATGATTGTTATGAATTGATAAAGAATGAGGAAGCATAGAATGGGATAGGTTATCCTAAATTATAGTCGTTTTATTATTAGCTATCATATATGAAATTCGATATCTGAAATGTGCTTTATGAAAATTTCTAAAACTTTAGGATACTGCATAATTTTTCATGAGTAAAGATTGTGATATTCTTACACCAAAGAATAACGATATTAAATTATAAAATCTCAGTTGTTTAAAATGACATCTTTGCCATTTCTTACCGGGTCTATTCCTGTGAAAATTTGGGTGTCATTGTCGCTTCTAAAACTAGAAAAGAAGAGTGTAAAATCTCCAACAATTCCTTTTTTATTTTGTTTTAATGTCATCAACATTATCCCCAAAACAAAAAGTATATTATATTATCATTTATTTTTTGGTATAAGAAAGTCACAATCACTAATAGCCGTTTGATGTGAAATCAAGGGGATGAGGTAGTGTCATTGACCTTGTTCCAAGTTAAAAAAATTTCTCAAACCATAAAATATATTCTTAGCCTCCCAAATTTTACATTTAACAACTAAGATCAATTACAATGTCTTGCATCAAAAATAAGAAGACTTATTGTATACAATCTCGACGAAATTATTGCATAACAATAATTAGGAAATTACATGAACTAGAAGGGTTACTTTAGTCATTTCCATCATAATAATCATGAGTTAAGCAAAAAAAAAAGGGCAAAGCAAGTTTGTTTTGATCACATAAAGAGAATGATCACCTGAAAAATATTTTTTTAATCTCAAAGCCCACCATAGAGTGCTAAATTAGCTCTCCTAGACTTAGACTAATGGGATCTTTCTAGCTATTATTTAGTAATTGTGATTTTTCTTTTTTATATTAACTGGTAATTAATCCTAATCAAATAGGGGTAAGGAATATCACATAGTTTTAACTGAGTAGAATATATGACCATGCTCTTTATACTTACCACCTTGCTGTTATTCCTCAATTGGGGAAGTTGAACAATGCATATCATGCCTCTCACCACCCTGCCATTTAAAAAAAGAGCAAACATTCACAAGTGGGTGGAAACACACACAAATGAGAGAGAGAGCCAGGCTAAAACCACAAGGATTTTAAAATTATGCCAAAAGATATTATACCCCTGTGGAGTATAATGTCTATTTACTCCTGGTGGATTAGATTTAGGACCCCAAATTTTGGGGATATAACCTCTTTAACATATAAATTAACCTTACTCAAAAATTTCTTAATGGCAGCCTCTAGGCACTTGGAAAAATATAATGCCTCAAGATTGAATAGAAATCGTCCAAATTTTTAAAGGTAAAATCTAAGTGTTAGAAAACTGAAATTTTTGTTTGAAAACAGTTATCTAGTGATTCTAAAGTGGTTACCAAAATTCCATATTGAAAAATCTTCCAAAGTAGCTCATTTGATTGAGTGAGTAGAAGTAAACTTAGCATTGACATATTGAATGGTTATGAATAATTGTGATCGAAAGGTAAATGATCTCATTGTATACATTCTCTTAAAATTATTATAAGAATTGATGGCTCTTAAAATTATTATAAGGATTGATAGATTATAGGAAGAATGTACATTGTTGCATCATTCTTGAGTGGAGCGCTTAGACCATCATGGAGACCGCTAGATTAGGTTATTTGAGGTATCCATAACACATTTGAAAATTTGCAGTTTTGGTGTGTGATGAGCTTGGCAGTCAAACGTCTACTGTATGAAACTACGGTAAACTATCTTTTTTTTTGTTTAGGTAGATCAGTGGGGATTATAAGCCCCGGCTTGTTTTGAAAATAGTAGAAATTTTTTAAATGCGTTAATGAGAATGGAGGTTGTGATTTTTAAATGGGGCGCAGTGATACTACCATCACGACCTGAGCCTCCCTTTCAACGGGCAAACCACTTAAGCAGTAAATGTGGAAAACAACGTTAAAATAAATGTATATACTGATTCAAACGGGATTTTACTAATTATTAATGATGAACATTATCTTTAGATCACTTTTAGTGCTTATCATGTGTAAGCCTTCTTATATAGCATATATTATATATTTGTTTGAAGGAAAAGGTTTTTAAGTACGGAAAAAGTTTGACCCTAAACAATGAAATTAAGTCGCACTTCAAAATTTTACTAAAGAAGGATGTTTTGATGCTAAAAACCCCTCAATTTGATCATCTCGATCTCAAGATGCACGGACATGAGAAAAAATAGATTTCACGTTTTGATAATAGTGCATCTTATAATGCATTTTTTAGACTATTTCAAGATTTTCAGGTGATCATAAATCTGCCCAATCTACACTATTTTTTAATCTTTAAATTTTATGTTTAGAGATGAAAATAAATTCAGGCTATCATATAGATTTCTAATACAAAATATTTCAGCACAATTTGAAGGTGTGTGTTACTCTGATTGTTAAAACCTAAGCCTTGTACAAACCACTCTCTAAAAACTTTTAAGGTGAAGGCTTTAGATTCATTTTTGTCCTAAGAATACCAATAGCCCTATATTGTATACCAAGAACTAGAGGTAACCTATTTTCCCCAAAAAAAAAAAAAAAAAAAAACTAGGGTTAACCTTTTTACCACTCAAACAAGAGATTGAGTGGTAACCAAACATTTGCCTAAGACAAATTACACCCCACCATTCCATTCATTATATATGGGAATAATTAAAATTTTCAGTTACAAAAGTGTGATTTTTAATATTATTAAAACTATTGGAGTTTCACTTCTAGGGGTGAACTATCAATGAAACATTTCTAGTTCTCCCAGGAGAGTATGAGGAAATTAAGGGACATGTCATTGAGTTGGGGTCTCTTAAAACATTGCAAAGAAGCTGATGCTCTAGGAGTAATCATTAGGTTGGAACAACCTTGCTTTGACCATGGACTATCCAAATGAAGTTTGGCGCACAGGATATTCTCATCCGAATATTGTCGAGATTGGCTGTAAAGAAAGAGATCTTTCAAATTTTTAGAGAGAGAAACTATTTGAAATTTTAAATTTTAGAGAGAAAAATTCTATTAAAATTTTAGAGAAAAAAAATATTTTAAATTTTTTTAGCGAGATAAATTATCTTAAAATTTTTAGAAAGAGAAATTATACCAAATTTTAAAACTGAATGCTTGTACACAAACTACATAATTA